CACTAACAAATGCTTTATTCTACTGTACAACCTTTTCAATCATAAAAAAGCAGTGGTCTATTTGATCAAAACAAAGGTATAAACCAAATGATAGGAGAAATAGGAAACAAGAAAATAATAACAAAAATAAAATATAAGTGGAAGTTTAATAGTGAGAGTGGTATAGTAGGAAAAAATAAAACAGCTCCTGGAAACATTGGTGTGGGGAGCTGATGGACTATAGGATGGAGCTGACTTTGTGGAGAACAAAAACATTTGAACATGGAAAAAAACTACCAAAGGTATAAACAAACTTAGGACAACAAAGCAAATTATGAGCCTCCATAAAAGCAAGCAGTGAGAAACAACACTCATTTATATGTCAGAAGCTCTCAGAATGTGCCCTACAGACCTTTTCACTTCTACTTTCAGGAAATGCACACAGCAAAACTATTTTCATGACACTGTCTGAGACGCCACACATGGAGCTATGAAACAAGCAGAGGAGTTCTCTGCCCTCGTGGAATTCAAAGCCAGTGGAGGGAGGTGAATAATACACTGCATGATACTAAGACATTTGCTGACATTTGCACTGACAGTGAGAAAGCAACAGGGGATAAAACTGCTGCCACCTTACTATAACTCAAGGTAGTAACACCAACTGTATTACATTTATCATTAGTTTCTGTATCATCTTGTAGTTACAATTTTTTACAAATCCAGTTTCCTTTAAGAAAGTCCTTGGGGGCCGGGAAGATTGGCTCAGTGGAATAAGTGCTTCCCTGACAAGCACAAGGGCCAGGGTTCAATCCCTGGTCCCGCAAAAAAAAAACAAAAACCAAAAACCAAAAACAAACAAACAAAAAAAGAAAGTCCTTGATGAAGCAGTAAAGATTTTTATTATATTTTAACTTGAGTGTCTTTATAATATTCTATGCAATTAAGTAGGAAATGCATAAAACATTCCTGCATAGGATTACAATAATCAGAGGAGAACCTCTTAGGTGTTTTACAACTGCCTTCTTTTTTAAAAGAAGGAATGACATAAACAATTACAGTTATTACAGTTATTAAGGATATTTGACCTTTTCTCAAAAGTTAAAGGTGTGTAGCATTTTCAGGAAATAACCGTATTTGTTGTCAATGATGAAATTTGAGCTTTTGAACATCACCATGAACTTGACAACTTCCTAGTACTGGTTAGACTGGTAGTGATATTAGCAAATGTAATTTGGAAGATTTGCTTACATCAGCAAACCAGTATTTTTCAAGTGAGCAATTCATGATGTTTCCAGACTTGAGAAAAAAAGACTCATTTAAAACCCAAGATAGGGGCTGGCAAGATGGCTCAGTGGTCTAAAGCACCTACATGGAACGAGCTTGGCTAAAGCACAGGGACCACGGTTCGATCCCCTAGCACCACATGCCAGCCAGTCTCACCCCCTGGTGGGCTGAGCTGGCCACACACACACACACACACACACACACACAATAAATAAATGTTTAAAAAATAAAATAAAATAAAACCCAAGATAGATTGAGATTTTAATTTAATAGAGTACAAAAAGTTCACCAACATGGTTTTAAATTCTACATTGCAATAACCTCTAAGTAACAATTCCTTGAGTTTTAGTGAGATATCAAAGAAAAATAACCACAATTTTCTGGGAAACCTATTAATTGTATCCCGCCTACCTCTTCCAACTATGTGTGTGTGTGAAGTTAGATTTTCTTTATATATTTCAACTGAAACAGCACAGAAAACATAAAATACAAATATAAATTGATACAAAAATCCAGCCACTATTAGAAGTGCAATTTGCAAAATGTAAATTAATGCAAGCCTTCTTACTAATTTTTATTTTGAAAATAGAATTTTTCATAAAACTGGAGTTTTTAATTGAGTAATTTAAAATTATTTCCATTTTAATATTTAAAACAGTAACTTAAAAGATATAGCCTATCAAGATGGATGAGTGTGTCCACTTGAGCAAAAGAAGCTTAATTGGCTCAGCAATTCCACACACAAGGATATAGAAGACCCACCCCAGGGCAGCTTTTCACCTGGATGCTGTAAAGGGAAAATGAAGGACGGCTCTGCTTCTGAGGAGCTCGTCTTTGCCTTCACCTTGGATGTCATCTCCTGGTGTTCAGCACAAGTTCTTCAGCCTTCTATCACAGACCCAAGGCCTCTACAAAGCACACTCTTCAGTGAACAAACACTAGACCTTCAACTGGATCCTTTGGATCCCCAATGCACAGACAAAACATCTGCACTCTTCCACACTCAACTCTGTGGGTGGTCACTGTAAAACAATCTTTTATTTTTTGGTAAACCATATTATCATAAACTCATATATATTTGTATATCTTGTATTATATCTGTTCTTCTAGTAAACACTGATTGATACTGAATTTGTTACCAGAGAGATGGGATCATATTTATGTGACTGTAATGGTAGGACTATACCTGACCATGTGGTTCAGGAGCCTTTGGGAATGGCTCTGAGAAGAGTTTCAAGTGGTTCAGAGATACTACCCAAAAAGTAGTGCTGAACACTCTATACTGTACTGTATGGGCAATTGTGGTCATTGTTCAGGCTTAGACACTTTCTGCTGGGAAGAATGTATTAGCTGCTAGACTCCAGATAATGTGTGTTATGCCTTGGCAGAAAGTTTGTCTGCTTTTGCTCACATTCAGAAACTTTGCCTAAGACTGAGATGAGAGGTGGCAGACTAATCTGGCAGAAGGAATTTCAAGACAGTTCAATGTCGAGGTGGTGGCATGGCTGCTGTTGGGGACTTTCAGCCAGATCTGTGTTGAGAATCAAGAGCAAAACGCCCAGCAGAATGATTTAAAATGTTTTGAGTTTGGCCAGAGAGGAAGCTCCAGTAAAGCTGTGGACTGCAAATATAGAGGAGAAGAGATCATGCTTGGTGAGAAGGAACAGGAGAATAGAAAAGATGGCTTGAAGACATCACAGGAGATGGCAGGACTCCACCCTTTACAGCCTCAAAATTGCTAAAGTGAGGCTTTGCTTTGAGAAGAAAGCAAAAGAATTGGAAGCAGAATTGGAGCAGCCTAGACAATTTGTTCCTCGTAATTGGATTCAGAGTGCTCAGCAGTCCAGACACTTGATCCCTACAGCCAAGAGATAGGGAAGCTTGGCGACTGCTCCAGCTGGTGACAGACCTTGGCATCATTCACGTGCTGCTGGTTTTAGGTGCGTGAAGAATGGAAGAGTTGTGGGGTCAGCAAGGCTTCCACCCAGATTTCAGAAGGCGGCCCAGGAGGTGAGACAGTGTGTCCCTGAGAGTGGGAGGCTGAAGGTACAGTGGAGACCC